CTCCTGGCAGGCGTGGGGCCTCCTGGGAAGGAGAGAGCTGCAGCAGGACCCTGCTGCTCCGGCAGGAAAAGGAGGCTTCCAGACTGGCCTGGGGCTAGCCGGGCCTCTTGGCTGCTTCGGCTGTAGCCCCATCTTGGTCCTGTCACCCTAGCCACAACTATTAAAGTGCCATTTCCTGTCTGGACCGAAGTGGGTGTATCTACTTGGACCCCTCCTATGCCTGGCTCGTTTCCATTCCAGGAAGGCCCAAGGCTTTGCTGCACAGAATAGCTTTATAAGGGGTTCCCATCACAGGTGTGCGTCATCGTAATACTCAGCCATGTCTGGCCCGTCCCGTTTGCGCTGCTGGGCCTGGGAGAGGAGGGGTCGAGGCCCTTGTGGCCAGGGGTGCTTGGGTCGGACTCCGTAGTCTAAGGGAGAAGAGAGTATGTTTGGGAGGGAGGATCTGGCTTCCCACTGAAGTCACCCCTGGACAGATGCTGTTTGGGATGAGCAGACCCTGAGGCTGGACCTGGGTACCCTCCCTAGGGCACGTCTTCCCCATCAGGGAGGGGTGAGAGCAGGGGAGGAGAAGGGGCAGGATGAGAGAATACCGTCCACCAGGCCGGGCAGTGGCTGTGAGAGTTCCAGGGGAGCTGAAAATTCTTCAGGAATGGATCGCCGAGGCCTGTGGAAGATGTTGGGGTGCTCAGTCCTGGCCCCAAAGGCCACTATCACCTCTCTGTGAAGAGGAATGGCCCAGGGTAGGGGACTGGACAAGTCCCCTGACACCAGGGTAATGGCACCAGCCTCTCCTCCGGGGATGGGGGCAGCATGGCAGAGCCCCCCAACTTCCAGGCCCCGGGCCCTGTTGAACCCTAATCCTGTACTCTGGCGAGTTACCTCAGTGGCTGGGGGTGAAGGAGTGCAGTTGCCAGGACGAGGTAGAGGAGGAAGAGACTCAGCCCCGCCTTGGGGTACCCCAGCATGGTGAAAACCATCTCCTACTCAGGTCCCAGATGCCGGCTTCTGCCTGCCCTTCCCCCAGCAGGAGGATGGAACCCACTGCCACCTCACAAAGGGCATTAGTTCCAGGGCTCAGCGTCAGCACCAGCTCTGGACTAGGCCAGAAACCTCCACATTGAGGTTTTTCACTTGTTTGATTTTACTGACACTATAGGCCAACAGGTGCCAAACAACATCTTGTTCTAGTGTCACTGTCCAAATGGTTAAGGCCACAGACCTTTGGAGTTAGCTCTCAGTTAAAATCACAACCTTGCCTATTGTTAGGTGGACACACCACTTAATTCTGTGGGCCTGTTTCCTCATATGCGAGGTAAGGTAAATACATGTGCCCAAGGTCTGGCACACAGTAGGCCCTCAGCAGAGGTCACAGTCACTGAATCCTCACCACCCAGAGCCCCCACCCATTCCCACTTAGCCTCCTCCCTGCCTCCTGCCACCACCACCACGCAGTGTCTCTCCATCTCAGTGGTCCCGGGTGGGTTTGCTGAAGAGCCCAGAGTGGCTACTCAGCCCTGGCCAGCTCCGAGATTCCCCTGGGGGGAGTACTCTGAGGAATTTCCCGCTTAGTCCCCACAGCTAGAACAGCCTGGCCCAAGGCTGGCACACAGTAGGCCCTGCCATCACCCCTGAGGCTGGACAGAGGGATTTCAAGTTAGGTGGCAAAGCCTGGGACCTCCTCTAGAGTGGAAGCTTCTGGAAGGCAGGGACTACAGGATGCCCAGCATGGGACACTCGATGGGCGCTCAATAAATATTTGTTGAATGAATAAATGCCATGTGACTGTGCTGCAGAGTCCCTCCATAGGCCTAAGGCAAAGCTGTGGGGCCCTTTGCTTCCTGCCCAGCCCCGTTAATGTAATGGGGACCGGGCTCCCTGCAGAGGCCCTGAGCCCAAAGCTTTAAAAACCAACCCCGGTCCCCACCCAGACCTGTGGGATCAGAACCTGCACTTTGGAAGCCCAGTTGCTTCTAAGACAGCAGATCTGGCAGGCCCAACCCCCTCTAACTGCTGAGGTACTTCAGTCCAGAGAGCAAAGTCCCATGTTTCCAACCCTGCCTCCTGGTCCTGAGCAGCCCCCTGAGGCTGACCAGCTCGAGTCTCCTTCAGTGTTTCTGCTCCTTGTGCTTGGAGCCCACACACTGACTTCTCGCCACCTTCCTTTCTGTGTCCCAGACACAACTATCCCTGCCAAGGTTCACCCCTGCCTGGAACCATGAGTTCAGGACGCTCACGGTTCCTACCACCACACCCCTTATCCTTCACCTCCCTTGCCTCCGAGATGCCACCTCTTCCTATCCACAACTGGTCCTGAGGCCTGCCTGGGTTGCACCTAAACTTCTCTATCACCCTGCCAGGCCTTAATTCAGTTCATCCACTTTCTAGGTCTCTGCCCAGTGTCACTGCTCCCGTCCTCCATCTCTGCCCCCAGTTCACCCTGCACCAGGCAGCTGCGATGAGGTTTGAAACAGGCCCCTTCCCCACTGCCTCCCAGAGGCAAGTCCCACTTTTGCAACNAGGAAGAAGGGGCCACTCGTCAGGAAATGAAAAGCAAACCGTGGGGCTAGGTTGCGGAACACAGAGCTTCTTTCAGCCCCCAGGAGGGTGGGTGGCCAAAGTGGATGTGGTGTTAAGAGTAGTAAGCAAAGAAGAGCTGCAGTGTGAGTTGGGGGTGGGCTACCTGTCTCTCTGTTGACCTCCTGTGGTCCCCAGAGATTCTGTAAGTTCTGCCAAGCAAGGTGAAACCAAGGGAGGAGGATAACCTTCCGGTACCTTGTACCCTAACCCTCCACCCTCCGGCCAGGCCAGGAACGGGTGGAAGCAGAGGTCACTTATTCTGGACTTGGGGAATGGTCCCAGGGCCCTGACATAACTTCTCTAAGATCATACACCTGATTCTCTTCTCCCACCGCCCTCTCCCCCAACATGCACAGGCAGAGCCTTGGAGAGGGTGGTTGCAACCAGCCAAGGCCCTGAGGCAGTACTAGCTAAGGATGTACTCTGTGGGGCCGTAGACAAGCTCCAGGGGTCTTTCACACACTCTTTAGTGAGTCCTCACCTCTCTGGGAAGCTGGGAGGGAACTGGAGGGCCAGGGGATCTGTCCAAGGTGCCGGGAAGTTAGTGGCAGATGTGGAACTATTGAATGGGACTCGTAACTATCCAGGTTAGGCTGGACTGAGGGAAAATCTCAGGCTGGAGGGTCCTGGCCTGGAGACAGGGGAGTGTCGGAGATGCCACTGCCTATCCCGGTGTCCCCCATTTCTTCCTCCCTCTAAGCGTCACTCTTCCGGCCGCGCTCAGGTCCTCCTGTCCGCACTGCGGCCCTCCCGCAATCCCTCGCCTGGCTGAGGCTGTTTTCTGTTTTTTC